TATGATTTTTTTGAGTCTGGTATGTAGAATTAGACAAGTTTTGAAATATATGGCTGGTGTCTATGTATCTATGAAGCCAAGATTTACAAAAGAAAAGTAGGAATGTACTACCACTCAGTTTTTCTTTCAACTAACAGCCTGGATATATCAGCAGGATATCAGGGGATATCACTGCTGCTGCTATCACCTCTCATAGAAAGCATGCATCAGTTCTTGCTCAGGAAGGAAGGGACTTCACATAGCTTGCTTAGAAACAAATCCCAGTGCAGGTGGAATTTGGCATAAGACTGATAATGAGTGCAGTAAAAGAGAGATGAAAATAAATTTGCAAAAAAAATCTATTTTTTTTTCTTTTTTTTTTTCCCATCTTGATTAATCTACATTTGCAGTTCTCTCAAATTGGAGGGCCAAGCTGCTGTTCAGAGAGACTCCCATAGTCTGGAACCTCATGAAATTGAACAAGGACAAATGAACAGTCCTGCAACAAGGATGGAATAATCCCATGCATTGGTACAAGCTGGGCTCTGCAGGAAAGGCCTGGGAGCCTGACAGGCATCAAGTAGAACACAGGTCACTGATGCACTCGTGTGATGTGGAAAACTAGTTGTGTGCTGCACTGCATTAACCACAGCAGAGAAGGGAAGTGGAAACTAAGGAGAAGCTAATAGCAACCTAAATAGCAAGGACACCTAGATGTCACTGTTTCCAGGGCATCTGATGAATTTTTATTCAATGAAACTTTAAGGTAGAATGTTTAAATTTTTATAAGTGAAGGGGTGAGAATCCAGGTCTCTTCCTCCCTCAAGGAAAAATGCCCTGTTGGAGGCAAGTAACGCTGTTTTATTTGTCTGGGGAAGGTCACATTCTTAGTCTGCCACAAACTCTATATTTGTTTTTCAAAATGTATATTATTTCTCCTTTTTCAGTGAAGGAATGAGCAACTTTGGAGATTTCTGTATTTCACAAGAAAAATGGTGTTTGGGCTGTATATGTTAGGAGGTTGAATAGGGAATATGAAGTTAAGGAAGTGGGCATCTCATCAGAATTGCAGATTTAACATATTACAGAGACAGAGACATCAGAAGTGGTCAGTTACAGAAAATACCAGTTCTGCTAGTGACTGTAACAGCCACAGCTCAGCTGAAAACACCAGACTGCTAAATACAACACTTAGAGCCAAAGCCACCTTTAGACATATTGATGTTCAAGTGCATGCGTGGGGTAATGCCGATGGTGTAGGAGTCAATCCAGGATTCCAGGATTCAGAGTTTTTTATTTTATTTTATTTTATTTTATTTTATTTTATTTTATTTTATTTTATTTTATTTTATTTTATTTTATTTTATTTTATTTTATTTTATTTTATTTTATTATTTTATTTTATTTTATTTTATTTTATTTTATTTTATTTTATTTTATTATTTTATTTATTTTATTTTATTTATTTTATTTTATTTTATTTTATTTTATTTTATTTTATTTTATTATTTTATTTTATTTTTTGGTGCCTGCTAGCCAATGCCAATTATGTATGAATTTGTGACTTTGTATGTTTTTTTTTTTTTCTTTTTTTTTTTTCTTCTCTTCACCCAATGGTACCTGTGATTGAAATTAAAACTAGGTGCTGCATAAAAGTTCAGGGGAGCAATGCAGGTGACACAGGAAGTGAAAGAAGAGATAGTAAAGCAACACATTCCTTGTAATGTGAAGAGTCACATGTGACTTTTCTAGTTGTTATGCTTCTACCTCATTTCCCAAGTTTGTCATTGCAGATATGCCACTGGATGCAAAAGCAGATAAAAATGATCACAAATGTTGTTGCGTCAACTCAAAACAGAAGATTTGATGAGCCATTATGCTGTGCTGTTGCTGAAACTGTTACATCGCTGTATTTGGAAGGACTTTGTTTTTTAAACGATGGTTACAGTAATCCACTTTAAATTGAGCGTGAAACACTGACGAGGCATGCAGTGATGAGTTTCTACATACTGTCCTGAAGCTTCATGTTAATTCATTTCACAGAGGCTTTTTTTTTTTCTTTCCTGTTTTACAGGATGTCTCAAAAAAGCCTTCCATCCCATGTTGTAACTAAATTTTAACTGAACAGGCTCCCCAGGGAAGTGGTCACTGCACCGAGCCTGTCTGAATTTAAGAAGAGATTGGACTGTGCACTTAGTCACATGGTCTGAACTTTTGGGTAGACCTGTGCGGTGTCAAGAGTTGGACTTGATGATCCTTAAGGGTCCCTTCCAACTCAGGATATTCTATGATTCTATGATTTTGTCACATTGTATATCAGCAGCAGTTGTTTAGCATTCTTCTAAGAGTGATGTTTATTTAGTGTGTTATATTTTGCTCTGCCAGAGTTATTTCAGATTCAAACCTGTAATTTTGGTGCTGCAACCTAGAGCAGGTCTGTTGGCTGCTTCCCCTGCTGAAGACAAACCCTTCTGCCTACAGCAAGTTACACCCAGCATTGCATTTCCCCCACATGCCAGACATAGGTAGGTCCCACAGCCATACAATTGTCTTCTTTTAAAATCTGTGCCCAGAAGTCCATAGTAAATATCTGCACCAAGGCCTCAAAGCTATTGGAAGTGGACTGACTTTTTAAAGACAAATGAAATGGCCCAATTATTTTTATTATTTTTAATAGAGACATAAATATTTTATAAATCCATGTTAATATGAGAGTGCACTTCTATACTGTGAGGGTGGCAGAGCACTGTGACAGGTTGCTCAGAGAGGTTGTGGAGTCTTCCTCTCTGGAGATATTCAAAACCCTCTTGGATGCCATCCTGTGCAATGTACTCTAGGTGATCCTACTTAGCTTGGACTAAAAGATCTTCAGAGGTCCCTTCCATCCTCAACCATTCTGTGACTCTGTGAACTTCAGCCCTCTTTTCAGGGCTGTGGGCTGCATGTGCATTTTAGAACACGTGTTTGGCTGCAGAAATGCAGTTTAGCCAAAGCAATACAGAAATCTAACAGACTGATGATTGGCCATGCTGTCCTCTAGAGTTATGCCGGTAAATCCTTTCTCCCACCTAAATGTGACAGCAGTTCACAGGGATAAGTGCATGAACTTGCCTACAGGTACATTTTGGGAACAATGAGACCTTACATATAGTTAATAAATTCTGTTGTTTCCACTTCTCAGTTCAGTTTAGGGCCACAGTGAAAAAAATAAATAAGTGCAAGTCTATCCCATGCAACTTAGTGTGTTGCTTGCCTAGGCCAAGCATCTTTTCCTGTTTCTGCTTGGAAGAAAATTAATCCCATTTTAAATAGACAAGCATGAAAGGTTTTGAAGAAAAAGGTAGCAGCTCGCAAATATATATATAAAAAGAATTTTTGGTCAAAATTAAAGTTTTAAACTATGATGATTTTAATGATCATCAACATTTTAAAACAAGTTTCTATACAATACCAGATTAAATCCCACAGAAATGTTTTAATTCCTTTGTCAGGTAGTTTTGGTGCATCACACAAGATGTTCAAATGAACTTTGGAAAAATTAGGAGAATACTTTCTACTATAGATTCCTGTTTGAAACATCATTATTATACAATTTATAGAAATACAGTTATAAATACATGCTAAAATAACACAAAAGCAAGAGAGACCTAAAAATGAAGCAGATTTTGCCTATGTATCTAGAAAACAGAGAAAAGTCACAAAAATAAAGTTTTCTTGTCTGTTTTATAAATTATGCTAAAAAGAATAAAGGAATAATAATAATTTAAATATTATTATGAATAAAAGGATATTTGAGTGGAAGAATTACTCTCCAATAAGATATGTTTCTCCATTTCTGGAAGCTCTTTAAGGATTAGACAGATACTAGTGTTTTTTTATTATTTTATTAAAGCTGCACATTACATATTTCTTATTTCTTTTAGAGAACACTTCAAACATCTGTATTAATATTTCCCCATTCTAAATTGAAATAATTAGAAAACTTTTTCTTCCCTTAGGGTATCATGGCATCTGTGATACACTCAGTATTGAAAAGCACTTTTCCTTTACTTAGACTGAACCAAGAATTTTTTTTATGAAGACCATCTGTTGAATTTTCTCCCCTCTGCCATTTTAGAAGAATCCAGATAAACCATTTTTTTAAAATGGTTAGATTTCACATTATGTTTAACCTATTAAGAATCATATTGGAGAGCAGAAATTGAGAGACATAAGGATGATTGAAATAATCTTAATTTTGTGGATTTCTTTTTCCTTGAGAAGATGGAAGCTATACTTTTGTAGCTTTTGCTATATGCTTTTGAAGAATTGTTATGTCTGTGGTTTTCCCATTCCACGACAACTCTCCCTCTCTCTCTCTCTTTCTCTTTACAATTAGAAACAAAATGACTATGTTAGTAATGTTATTGTTTTTCCCCCAAATAATCCCAGTCCTGATGAGATAGACATCACAATACTATAAAGCTTTCAAATTTTATAGGAAGATTTGGCCTCAGCAAGGATCTTTCAGGAAGATTTTTTCATTGGCTATAGGAAGGCCATGTCTAGTTTGGACACCTAGCCATTGTACACTAAGGATTTCCATTAAGAACTTGGGCACAGATAGGGCTTAGAAATACTGATAGAGTTTTGTTGTTGTTGTTGTTGTTGTTGTTGTTTCTGATGGAGCCAGGCCATACTTAGAGCACAGCATATGGACTTTGGATCTTGGTAGTGCTCCAGATACCACAGTGTAGATGCTGTCATGGCACCCACTGAAAAAAATTAAACTCCTGACTGAATTACTTCTGAATTACTTCAAATATGTATTTTCTTAAGCTTACTGAAATAAAAGTTCGTTCAGCCTTCAGGTACTTCCATATCATTGTGTCAGTTATTTAAGACTTGTCCTGAAATATGCAACTGTATGTTTCAGTCTTCTGGTGAGTTCAGTGAAAATGTTAAAAAAATAAATAACCTCTCCAAAATAACATTAAATGTTAAATGACTTTCCAGTTTTAATCACTAACATGCTTTCCTACCTGTATTATAATGCTTGGTGCAGTAACATAAATCCTTTTCTTCTTTCAAGAGAAACTGTGGCAGAGTGAGACCTTCTGCTACTTGCACTGCTCCCTTTTCTTGCCATTCAAAAATGAGATCATTCATTGTGTATCCAACTAAAAAAAAAAAAAAAAAAAAAAAAGGAAAAAAAAAAAAAAGAAAAAAGAGAGAGAGCATAAACTCTAAGTCAGCTGCAAACTTTGAAAGGCAGGGACATAACAAATAGTGATGTCTTCAGTAAAAGCCATAAAAGGAGAAAATACAACAGATCTCCTTATACCTATTAACCAAAAAGCATTATCTGCCATTCTAAATCATATTGAACTAGAAAAAAAGCCAGTTTTATGGATCCTTTGTGAAATCTTAATAGTTAGGTAGTCTTCTAATGGATTTAACAAAAGTATCAAAATGATCTAAACATACTTTCCCTTGCCTATGAAGGCATGCCTTGCCCCATCACTCTTAGATCACCTTCTCCTCTTATATAGGGTGAAATTGTGGTTTGTCAGTTTTATGTATGGATTGATGTCAATCTGATTTAAAGTAGATACATATTCTTGAAAGTGAACGAGAATTTCTCCAGGAGTGAGATATTAACTGAATTGAAAAAAAAAAATGTCTAAAACTGGTACAAAACAGGGAAAAGCTTGCAAGGAAGATTGTATCTTTTCTCTGACTGTGTAGAAGTATGTTGTTATGTAGTATTCATTTTAATATTCAGATTCCTGCACTTATCCTTACCCCATGTATGTGTGGTTAAATAAAACAGCAAAATCTATAGTTGAAGAGACTTTCAATGGGCAGACTTTTTAAAGGGCTAGTAGTTTTTCCTTTTATTTCCATCTCTCAGCTAACATGTGTTTTGGATATCACTGGGGAAAACTGCTCTACTTCTTGTGAATATGTCATATATTATTTTTCCAGCATATCCCTAGCATTTTATTTCAAACTTTTTCTGGATAAATTGTCTAGTTGTGACAACTGAAAGAAAAAAAAAAAAAAAAAAAAAAAAAAGACTTCGTATTCTCATTCAGATTTCATTCAAGTTTCATTAAGATTTTCTCAGGATCTCAGCTTTGGACAAAGTGCAATTTCAAGACTGAAATCTAAAACTAAATGGCTTCTATTGTTGAAATAGCTTGGACCACAAGGGTACACTTGACACACATATAATAGCTTGAACCATAAGGAAAAGAATAGTGTCATTTTTACATCTAAAATATATAGCTTTCATCCATCTATTTTGCTTCTTTGCAACATTTCTTTTCTACTTTAGTCCAAAGCTAATGAGCTGTTAAGAATTACCTACAGATAACTGGAAATATCTTTTAACCTTTCAGTAACAATTCACTGTTTAAATACAGTGTTCAGAACATTCTAAGAAAAGCTGTCTGCCTGCAAATACTGAAATTTTGAGTTCCATTGAGGGAAATAAAGTCTTCGGTGTGCAGTAATAAATTTTTCCCTTGTTGTATTCAATGGCTTCATTACTTTTTGAATACATCTATAAATGTTATTCAGTCAAAATGCCCTGATATGCTGACCTCACATCTGAAACACACTTTATCCTTTCTGATCTATGTTGAATGTATCCATAAATCAAGAATCAGTGACTATTAATTTAAAACTGTTTCCAATACCTTTAGATTCTTTCTGTTTCTTTTGGAGATTAACCTTATTCAAGATATTCACAAGCACTCAGGATGACTGTTGGTCATCTCTTTGGTATTTGCTGGGGCTAAATAAATATGCTAAAAACAAGACTTTTTTTTAAGGAAGTATTTCATGGAGATCAGTCATTATGGAAGTGATTACAATCATATATTAAACGTGCAAGGAAGCACTTTTTTTCCTCTATTCTTGAATACATGACATCATATAAACTCAGTCTTAAAATTAACTATTAAATATCAGAAACTAGGAAAAAACAGAAATGTAGCTCTTATCAAACATTAAATGTATTCACACAACAAGCAGTTGTGTGTAGTGAAGCATTTGAAGCATGTAGAGTATGGCCAGAAGTGATATCCCCTGAGTAAAACTCATTGAACTGGCAAGAAACAACTGCTGTGTCAAAATGCATTTCACTAAATCAGATTAATTCATCTCTAATGTGTATTTTTAATTTTATCAACCCTGTCCATTAATTCTTCTATAATTCAATATATTAAAAATAGTAGTTTATGCAAACTGCTGAAATAGTAATCTATTTTGTGTTTACACTTTAAATGCCCAAATATATCTTTAGCATTCAATAGTGTAATTCCATTTTTTTAAGTCAAGACCATATTGATCCTGTAAATGTGACTTAAAACAGAAAACCTTAATGGAGATGTGATTCCAAAGAAATTTCAAACGGTATTATGTATATTTGATTTCCATTAGGTATGTTAAATTAAATCAACTCAGTCTCTATTAAATTTTGTCCCTTTATTAAATGTGAAAAAAATGGACCAACCAAATGTGCCCATTGAATTAGAGAAATCTAAAGTTTTCTAACACTCTTTTAATTGGTAAAATAAGAAAACATGAATTATTTAAGCATATCGAACTATTTCATAACACTAATTTGTCTCTGAATTTTCTTTAGTGAGAGGTGTTAACCGGGACAGGTATCCTTGATTTTCTAAAAGAAAATTATTTACTAGTTGAATTCCAACAAATTTGATGAACTCTTTCTTTTTTACATCTATCACATTGTTCTTTCATGTTGTCACAGCAAAAAGGACAAAAGATTACACTTATCTGTCTGTTATATATGTGTCACTTACAGATATATAGCAGAATCAGAGAATTTGTAAGAATGAAGTGCAAGACCAAACTGCATCTACTGTCCTAGGCCCAAAATTTTGAGGGGGAATAGGGAACTGACAGAGCTAACTGAGCATTCTTAATATCTCAGACAAAGAAAATACTTTTGGTTCTTAATTACTTTTGTGAAGAAGACCTGCTACATAGCAGAGTAGTTTGTGCTCAGAATGCTGGTGTGCACTGTGCATAAGGGGAAAAGCATATCTGTAAAATGGCTTTTTTAAAAAATCAGTGTTTACTGTACTGGGGCATATATGATATTACAGTTTGATTCTATGGTATTATATGATATATATATATAATACATATATTAAGGTTGGTCTAGATCTTAGAGGTCTTTTACAACCTGAAAGATGCTATGATTCAATGATATAAGCAACAAGCAAAAAAAAACAAACAAACAAAAAAAAAACACCAAACCAAACCAACCAACCAACCAACCAAAAAAACAGATCTCTAGCAACTTAATTTTGTGGGGTCTGCTGATTGATGTAATTAATGTCTCTTGGAGTAGCTGGACTCCCAGCACCGTGACAAGACATCATGGCAGATTTTGAAATTACCTTCAGGTTCAGTCTCAAGACAAGTAGAGACTTTTGAACTGTGGAGGGACTGCATGCATGGCAAGTTGTAGAAATGTAGGGAACTTTGGTAATGAAAGTTTTGGAATGTTATATTTTAGGTTTAGGATCCCAGAATTGCCAGTCATAAATGTTCACAGTATTGAAATTATGTGAATAACTTTAAAGCCCTGAGGCTACCACCTGAGTTTGGTGGGGCTATGCATATTATTCATGCATATGTATTTGCCAGACAGGCTTACATTTGCAAAATGGAAATCTGATTAGATGCTGTAATAAAGCAGTTCTTCACTTAGAATGCATTTACTTTATTCATCTAGGCAAAAAAAAAAAAAAGTACACTTATACACTCAGCCATCTACTGATGAAATGACTTTTACCAGAATAAAAAAGAAAATGAGTAAAGTAGTTCACTGTTTGTATAAGATTAGCAGCTGCTTAGATGAGAAAAGATGGATGAATGAAGTGAGTAATGGTGCTCTCCTTGTGCCAGGTTTATGCAGCACCATTTACACTGATAACACGTGTAATTAGAGCTGAGAGTTTCTGAGACACAACTGCAATTAATATCCAAGCACTAAGATTCAACAATACAGAAATATTCTCTGTGTGATCTCAAGTTCTACTTTGATACCATTTCTAGCAGAGGAAAGGACATGTTAACTTAATTAATGCTTTTTGTCTACATCTTGTATGCATCAAGAGTGAAAACTAGGGCATTGTTGTGAGAATGCTAGGTTCTCTGCTAGCTTCTACACTTGGCAGCACTTGTGTACAGCTTGTTACATTATCTCTCAGTGAATTTTCTCTCTAGCCTAGAACCTCTTTCTAGTCAGTGGATTTTCTCTCTAATGACTGTCTCTTAAAAGTTGTCTCTTAAAACTAAAAGACAGAGCATATTCAAAAAAATAGGAAAGTACTATAGTGACCCACAGTGTTGACTGAGGGACTGGATAAGTAGAGTGTGTTGACTTGACAGGATGAAAATGTGTGGAAGAGTGGGAGTGTGGAAGAGAATCATGTGCAGTGAGAGAAGGTGAGATTTTACTTTTCAGTTGTGCCAGTTTGTATATAAGGGAAAGGAGGAGAATAATAGTCAAGAAAGCCTGTAAAAGCAAGTTAATCAAAGAATGAACAAAAAAATCCCATAGAAATATATTACTAGTTTCTGTGTTAAAAGATTATGATGCAGATTATGTAAAAAAAAAGGCTATGACTATATTCAGTCATCCTCTGTATTGAGAAGACACAGTCAGATGAAACATCTGTAATGCAATTGGTAATAATATGAAAAGCCTATCATCGCAGAAGGAGAAAGTTACTAGAGAGAGAAGTTTTCAGGAAAACTTGAGAACTGCGTATATTAATGGTACTATAGCCTCTCAGCAAACAGCTCTTCTTAAAGAGGCAATTCATTTTTAGGTGCCTGAAGTCATTCAAGGTAATTAGTTAGTAAAGCATGTGCTGGCAGACTGAGACCTCCTCCTGAGATGAATATGAAGAGCTGGCAAACTAAGTAGAACTTAGAATTAATTGGCACTGTAGAGGGTCTGAAACATATTGGAAAGTTAGATTTGGCTTGCAGAAATTTTCTTTAGAAAATGTTCTGACACAAAGCTGGTAAAGTGTGAAAAACAAAGGTAAGATTCTGTGTGGTCACACTCATGGAGAGAGGAGATGGAAAAGAATGCAGGAAATGAGGACTGTGGTCAGGACTTGTGCCT